AAAAATTGATCAATATTTATTTTTACCAATAAATAGATTATGGAAAAAAAAAATATGCGTATCGGTAATTTTTTTCAAATCGTTGCAAAAAATAAAAAAAATTCACGGTTCCGTCGCAACCGTTACACTACGGCCTTAACCCGCAACTGCAACGCGTCACCGCCACCGTTACGGCGACCGCAACCGCTTTTCAGAACCTTGTAAATAATACTATTATTATTATTATTATTATTATTATTATATTATATTATATTGTTATAGAATACATATAACACCATTTTATCTCTCATACTTAATTAAAAATATAAAAATATGCTATTTTTTTTCCAAATTCACAAACCCTTAAATCTTATGATATTGATGAATCCAACCTCTAAATACAACCACATCCGATACCCATAACTAAGTCCATGTAACATAGATTTGGACCCTTACGTGCCTAGCTTTATCCTCTAACCTATGTTTAATAACAAACACAGCATCGCAAAAACTGTGAAGGCAAAGAGAACCAAAATGACAAAAAAAGCTAATAGGAGTTTCCCAGAAGTGAAAGTACAGTACCAGAAACTCATAAACATATCTACCGCATCAGACATATCACAGTGAAGCTTGGTAACAGAGTCCCCACGCCCAGCTCCTGGAGCAACCCCATAAGCAATATATGTTTTCGGCCCCAAGTCTGGCTTCAAGTCCCTTCGGCAATTTGACTGCAAGATTGAAAAAGCCATTGCGTGGATGTGTATATTCCTTAAAGGCAAGCAATTGATATACTCAACACCATGACGAGGTAAGCGTTCTCAAAGCATAGGGAATGGGGGGCCAATTTTCAATTTCAGAATCTGAGGCCACGAAAAACTGTCAGATCGGCCCTCCAAATATCCGTAAAGACTGATGAAATATTAATCTCTACTGCAAATTGCAATGCATCACACCAGTAGAATTACCTATCAAATTCATCTTACAATAGAGAAGAAAGAAAAACAGCAATCATGAAAAGATGTTAAAAGGGTTAAAGTAGACATACTATTGAAGGTATTTCATTTTGGCCTACCTCCTAGGAAAAGAACATCAAAAACCATATCATGTAAAAGGCAGTGTTGTCAAATTTCAGTTTCTTTTACGTCAGTGAACTCTAATACAAGCCATTTCATGGAAAAACATTAGTGTGCAGCTGCACAGTAGATAATTTTTCAAAAAGCTTTGGAACAGGAGAAAAAATAATGAGGAGAAACATGGAATCGAAAGTAAAAACAGAGAATTAAATGAGGAATGAAAAGCAAACATGACAATGATTCAAGTAGAGAGAACAAAAGGCTAAAGAGTATCAGAGAGAACAAAAGACTAGAGGAGTAAATCATTGTTACTTGGCCTCGAAAACTGTTGAGAATAGGAAAAGTTCATACTGCTGCTCATTTTTGCGAGTGCAAAGCTCTTTTGCATTAATGTTTGCAACAAAAAGAGAGCATTTTTGTTAGTACTAAGAGTTGTCTATTTACCACTTCCAGAATGAAAATGACTAGAACAGAGTTGACTGCTTTCAACTCAATTTGTTGCTTCTAAAGTAAACGATCAAGCACCTTAGTTTAGAAAAAGAAACAACCATATTTAACAACATGATGAGAAAGCCATCTAAACAAAAGTCATATTTAAGTCTTCTGGTGAGGGAACCCTAAATCAGGTTTCCTTCTCCATTTGATGTATTTCTCCTCTCTAATTCAATGATGTACAAAAGCCAATTGAATTTGTTTTGGGGTAGTTTCTTGACATCTTTCCTAGAGGGACTATTGCTCATATCATACCACCATATGATGAAACTGTAACAATTTTTTTTTTGTACAAAAGCAGTAGCAAGGTCTCTCACGATAAATTCTTTTCCCATCAGAACTTTCTGCTGCAAGGTAGAAATAATTTTGTGTTTTAAAATAACCATCTATTATCAATGTCAACTCTTATAAGTTATAACCCTAGGCAACTCAATACAACATAATGCATCTAATCTAATTAAAAACACAAAGCACAAGCAGTGATGGCCAGCCTCCAGCGTTTGAGAATGTATGATAAACAAAACCATTAACACTTAAATTATCAATCTGCTAATTTTTCAGAGTAGAAAAACATACTTGATTAGACCAAGCATATTAATTTGATAAAAAGGCCAGATCAGCTGTACTAATGTTAAATGCATGCAGCAACCGACTTCTAGTTTAAGAGACGGCAATATAACTCTCTTAACCAAAAAACAAAAAGTCTAAGGCATAAGGATATTATTAGTGTTTTTTTATTAATTTATTTGGGGGGGGGGGAGTTTCTTAAAAAAATTGTTCTGTAGCTTTCTTTTGTATAGCTAAAATATTATCGCTTGCCATTTTTCCCTCTGTTATGTTGCACACATAAACTTTCACTTAACCAAGGATACCTAATGTGAACTTACTCTTTTAATGTATTGAAAAACTTGTAAGCAAAGTGAATGACTGAAACATCTTCAATGTCACTACCATGCCATTAGTTTTTTCAGGCTACTATATTGATTATGGTGCTCAACAAAGATTTTTTATTAGATGCTCAACTCTAAGGAACAATTTTAAATCTTGAAACTGACCTCACTCCAATCCAACAATCAATGGCCACAACATCCAAATGCTGAGATGCTTCAAATGTTTCATCTGCTGAATGCACGCCACATAACCATCGGTTCCCAACTCAACCAGATGTATGTTCGAGCACATTACTCACAATCACTGGCTCACCCTTGATCCAGTGCTGCTGGAAAATGCTTCAAGTCCCAGTTGATATCTCTAGTCGTAGGACAGTACAGATAGTTGTCATTGGAATTTTCTCGACAAGCTGCTTTACGTGACTTACACTGCCCAAGTCAAATGTCACCAGATGAATTGAAACAGGAGCAGGACCTGCAAGGGTGTTCTAGGCATATCATAAAGTTTGTGCATTTTAATTGTATCGTTGCTTTCTTCACCAAGTCTGAAACCCAATCTTCAGGAAACAAGTTACTCAACTCTAGTATGCCAACACCACAACCACCCATATTCTCTGGAGGGCAAGGAATGCTACATCTTCTTTGCTTTCCACTCAGAATTTGACTTCTCATAATCTGTGGAGCCTTGTACAGATATACCCAAAGCTGCTCTCTTTCTTGAAGAAACAGACTTGGGTTTGCATCCATGGAGATAAGCTAACCCATTGTCAGTATATTGAAAGATTACTTCCTTCCCACCTCCTGCAAGTGACCATCACGGACCTCCCCGCAACAAGTAAGCAAAGGTCATAAAAACAGTTTGGACAGTTCTGTGGAAGTCAACAACAGAAGTTTTACAGTAGTCACTGCACAAAATATGTGATATCATTACGCAAAAATTAAGAAATATTTAACATAAAGAAGACAATTTTCATGAAACCTACCAATAAACACGCTCATTCCTTTTCACAAGCTGCCTTTGTAGCTCTAATGCTGCTAATGATAACCTGGCCAACAAACATACAACTAGCAAATATTTGCCTTTCTCATAGGTTTTGGTAGAATATTAATGAACGAACAAGTGTTAAAGCAACTATGAAGAAGCATTAGTATAAATTGAACATTTTCTCCTAAAGGCCTTTTAGAATATAATCCCTAAAATTTTTATTGAAAAAAAAATAAGTATAAACATGGCAAATTGAAGTTACTATCAGTGAAACCAGGATAAGCTATCTACAACCATTGAAATGAACAAAATTAAATGAAGTGAAATAGATGAAAAGAAAGCATTCTACAGTGAAGCCAATCAAATAGCATTGCAAATCCATCTTATATACGTTAGAACAGTCCAAGTGCATGTGCAACTCTCACACCATATGAAATCACTATCTTAGTTTCAAATAAGAAAAAAGTTTTCGTCACCACCACATCAAGACCAAAAACTACTAACATCTTTTAAACATTGATCGCCGAATCACAATTCTATTATTCTATTCAATATCTCTGTACTCAGTGTAGTGACCTCCATTTCATCGCTTAATAGGAAAACATAATTATAGAGTTTTCATGTTACACAAAACCAAAGAATTAGTACCTTGAATCTTGGCCTCTATTTCCTTCTCCATCAATTTGCTCTTGATTAAAATGTTTCAGAAATGGAATAAGTGCATGTAGCAAATACATGGAGTGGTGAACCTTTTCATCTTCGTTGATCTTCAATTTTAAATTGTTCAGTTCCTACAGCGAGCCACGAAGAGCATATAATATATATATTTTGTATAAGTTGAGGACACTAAGAAGCACGGACACGTACACGACAACTTGTAAATTTTCAAAAAATGCAGAATCCAACATTTTGGTAACATGCAAAACATATAAACTTTATATATTTATTATATATCAATTTTTCAATATTTATATATTACTTGTATCAAATATTTAATTTCATTAAATTCATTAACCTTGGATATGCTATTTCAGTATTAGAAATATATATATATATATAATTAAAAAACGATCCAGTGTGTCCCAACATGTCTACAACATGTCCCCATCTTGTCCCAACTGACACAGTGTATCCAAGTCTCTCCAGCATGTCCAATATGTGTCCAGAGCATGTCCAGCGCATGTCTGTGTCCAACACATGTCCAAATCAGTACATGACTCCAGAGAGGTGTTTTGCTTCATAGGAGGATATCTAGAATAGGAACCAATAGAACAGATCATGAAATGTCTGGAGCAAAGAAAACTGACTGACTTTAAGAGATCCATCTAAACGTAAGCATGCTTTGCAATTGCAGTTTCCACAACAAACAGGGCAAGCCTCGGCAATTGCCTCCTCTTTCGTATCAGGATACCTGCAAACATGACAAAATGTTTATTAATATCAATCACAACAGAAACTATCAGAAATTATTCACAGGTTTAACTACAAAAATGTAACGTAACTATAATCTGATGACTGAAACCCACAATTACATTATGATCTTAAGTGGAGATGAGTGTATAGGATAATATAATTAGCAAAATAATATATATGATATTACAAAAAGACACTTGACTGTACTTGTATACTGGCAAGTACCAACATGCAAGTAGAAAGCAAAAATCTCATTTCATGCAACCATCTCAATAAAGTAGTGTCATATAAAGAGATACAACAACTAATAAGCATAGTTTTCAGAACCTTACAATTCATTATTCAATTAAAAATTCCACTATATTTGCATCTACATTTTTCTGCCATTTTGTCAATGGATATCATAAGAATTTTTCAGCCATTTTAAATGTTGTCAACTAAGACGTAAAAGCCTTAAATAGCTAAAATTTTAAAAATCAAGGTGTTGCACAGATATTCCACAACTATTATAGAATAGTTAACAACAAACCACACATTTTGCTTCGATTTCTTCCAATTCTATCTTCCAATACATGTAGTAGCAGAGCATACGCACACATCAGTGCATAATATAATGGGTGTTTGGAAAGTTGCTATTTTAGTAGACTATTTTAGTGTGTTAAAATTTTTGTATTTGAAAAGATGATCGAATTTTTTTATAATTGAATGTGATGTTTGTGAGAGAAAAAATAAAATGATTATGAATTTGACATAACATTTTGTTTTATTGACTATTTTAATTTATTTTATCTTTTAGTACTATTTAGCCAAAAAAAATTAAAAATCCTTCTTCCCAAACACCCAGAGTAGACATTACAATCCTTATATGCTAAAAGGTGATATGTGTTAAATGATAGTTAGATCCTTCTTTTGTCATCCTCTCTTCAACTACAAGTCAAAGTTGAATCAGCATTCTAGGGAAATGCATACAACTATACAAGTGAAGCTAAAAGTCACACCAGTATAAATTGATTGGAAACCCAGAGTTCGGATCTTCCGTCGCACTTCCCTGTGGCACTCTTCTGTCGCCCTCCAAAACGACGTCGTTTTGGAGGGTTTTTTTTTTTTTTTCTTTTCTTTTTCTTTTCTTCTTTCTCTTTTGTCTGTGTCTGTGTTTGGTTTGGTTTTGAAGAAAACCAGAGGAGAGGAGAGGGAGGGAGGGGAGGGGAAGAAGAGAGAGAGGAAGGAGAAGAAGAGTTGAAGCAATCTGGAACAAAAACCAATTCATCAAAATCCCATTCAAAAAAACCCAATTCATCAATTTCTTAAATTAGATTTCAGATTTCAAATCTGTAAAAAAAAATCAGATTTCAACAAACATCATCATCAACAAACCTAGAAAAAAAAAAAGGGATTGTTGATGATTTCAAATCAGGGGATTTTTTTTTACACAGCTTAATGAAATCTGATGATTAGAAATCAGTTTAAAAAACAGATTTTTTTACACAGAAATTGATCCCAATTGGTAAAAAAAAATCAGCTTTTTTACAAATCACGGGATTGTTATGAAATCTGATTTTTTTTTACACAGATTTCTTAAATCAGCTTAATGAAATCAGATTTAAAAAAAGGGATTGTTGATGATTTCAAACCCATTAAATCAGATTTCAGATTTCAAATCAGGGGATCAGATTTCAACAAACATCATAAACAAACCCAGGAAAAAAAATCTGATTTGAAATTGGTAAAAAAAAATTGATTTCAACAAACAAATTTCAAACCCAAAATCCAAGCTCAAAACCCAAGAACAAATTTCAAACCCAAAATCTAAGCGTGTAAAAAAAAAAAAAGGGGTAAGATCAGAGAGGAAGAGAAGAAGATGAGAGAGAGGAGGAGGAAGTTGAGAGTTGCCGTGGTGGTGATGGTGGTGGGTTCCGTCCTCTGCGGGTGGTGATGTGGTGGGTTCCGTCTCTCCTGCTTCAACTCTTCTTCTCCCTTCCTCTCTCCTTCTTCCCCTCCCCTCCCCTCCCCTCTCCTCTCCTCTCCTCTGGTTTTCTTCAAAAACCAACCAAACACAGACACAGACCGAAGAGAAAGAAGAAAAAGAAAAGAAAAAAAAAAAAAAAAACCCTCCAAAACGACGTCGTTTTGGAGGGCGACAGGAGAGTGCCACAGGAAGTGCGACCGAAGATCCGAACTCGAAAATAAATTGAATTAAATGTGAAACCGATGCACTTTGCTTAACATCAGGTTGAATTCATCTTGCCAACTACATATTTAGCTAAAAAATTTTAAAAATATCATAAAATTATCACATCATTCTCTATTTTTCTCACAATTTTTTCTAAAAAAATTATTAAAATAACTTATTCCTAAACAAAAACTTAGCCAAGTTCAGTGGATCCAACAAAATTACACCCAAATGTCATTCACTCTATTTGGTTTTAATTTTTAAGATTCACTTTTCAAAATATTTTACTTTTTTGTTTTTTGTTTTTTTTTTATTTTTACTGAATTTTTTTAATATTTTAAGCAATTTTTTTTAATTTTTAGATACACTTAACATAAATACACTTAAAAAGTATAATATTTGTAAAAAAAAATTTTAAAAAATCACTAAATACTAAAAATACAATACATTTTTTTGGATTTTGTGTATTTATTAATTTTTTTACAAATATTTTATTATTTAGATATATTTAACTAAAATGCATCTAAAAAAAATTGTTTAAAATTTTAAAAATATTCACTAAAAATAATAAAAAATACAAAAAATAAAAAACTCAATTTTTAGAAAAATGAATTCAAAAAATTAAAACCAACCACACTGATTACTTATAAAAATAAATAAATCATAATTCACATCTCAATATTATTAAGTTGATTAATGTCTACCAAGTGTTTTCATGCTAAGGAATTTTAAAAGAAGAAAGAATAATATATTAACAATTTTTGTCTTGTCAATGTCTTCAAACTTTAGAATAGATAAAATTCAACTGAGAATCTGTTCTTTAAATCAAAAGAAGCTTTTAATTTGATTCAATGTTGGCATGGTTACAGGGGAATTGTGACTAAGCAATTCTTTCAATTTTTGATGAATTCAAGAGAGAGTGAAACATAAGGCTAGAAGATTCTAACAAACTAAACAGAACAACATTGAAACAGAAACGACAATCTTTATAATCAAAAAATAATGAAGTTCACCACAACCACTAATACAAATTAATTTCATGCTCAATAGGCAAAAAACTAACATTTTTTTATGAAACTAAAATAATGATCAGGGTGCTAGAGCGAATTAAAAAAACACACAAAAAAACAAAACAAAAAAAACAAAGGAGTAGAAGGAATTAATACCATCTGTGTAAACAGGGAATACAAAATCGTTTGGTCTTACACCTCTGGCACCGAACAACACGGCCTTTGTCATTCCTCTGACATTGATGACACATCACTGACTCGATTATGTTCCCCTATTCAGATTCAACAAAAATAAAATCAGAACAACCAACATAAAACAAGACACAGCTAATGAATCCAATCCAATTGAGAGAAGAAGTTGCCTCAGTCTCACTCACATTTTCATCTCGCTTTCTTGAACGAATCAATGGAGTCTCTTCTTTCACTCGTTTTGCTCTGTTCCTCCGAGAATTAGCTTCCTCCTCCTTTTGATCCTTACCTGAACCTAAACAATCCAAATCTCCATTCTTTTTTGTCTTGTTTCTCTTAGCCGATGATTTTGTGTTGTTTGTCTGAATCTGAGTCGCTTTCTTCTCTGTCTCATTCTTCTTTGGTCGCCCGCTTCTAAGACTATATTGGCCATTCTGCTGCTCCTCCACAGAATCCTTGTTATTTTCCATAATCACACACTTCACTTCACTAGTAACTCTTATATTTTCTTGGCACTTTCTCACCTCACGTTCCTATCAAACAAACAACATGAGAATTTCTCGAGTATGCTGTATGTAATATATATATATATATATATATATATGTTTTTGTATGTCTGGAGTTGCAGAGTCCCGCCAAAACGAATATGAGTATTTGAAAAGTCCCGCCCCCCTCACTCTCCCGCTTCAGCTTGCTGCATAGTGATGATTTGACCATGGCCGCCCTACTCTGCTTCTTCCACTATGTTTTCAAATGTTTTATTAAACTATTTTTTTATCTAAAAAACCTACTCTGCTTCTTCCACTATGTTTTCAAATGTTTTATTAAACTATTTTTTTATCTAAAAAACTTATTTTAATGATGTGAGAAATTTGTTTCAATTAATAAATAGGAAACTTACTGATAAGTCTCATGTACTAAGTTCAAAACCCAGCTAATCCCAAAACAAAATACTTGCACCAATTAGTGTAATACATTTTTAATTGTTACCAAAAAATTCCTTCTTTTTTTTTTTAATTTACAGACACTGTTCACATCTTACTACCGTCGGACTTCCGTCAAACGGTCGCCGGAGACTCGTCGGAATGTTTAAAACATGTTATGAAACTGTAAAATTTTACAGTTCTAAAAAATGTTATAAAACTGCAAAATTTTACAGTTTTAAACCATGATTCATTCCAGCACCAAAAAAAAAATTTGAAACTGCAAAATTTTACAGTTTTCACCGCCTGTAACTAAAACTCGAAAATTACTTGTTCAGAATTCGAAAATTTTCTCATTACAAATTTGTGTGATATCTGTACAAATCTGAGTCATTACAGATCTGTTTCAATGATATTATAGATCTATTTCATCATCAACAACAACAACCATAGATCAACAACTATCCCAAAAAAAATCTGTAAATAGAGAGAGAAAGAGAGAGAAAATGACAAAAATATATACACAAATCTGTTCAATCTAAGCACAGATCTGAGGATGTGCGTCTTTTTGTTCTTGTTCTTCATCGTCTTCTTGTTCTTGTTCTTCATTGCCTTCTTGTTTAACTTTAGGACTGAGATTGGGGTTAGAGGAGGAGGCGTAAAGAGGAAAGCAAAAGGCAGAGAGAGAGGGGAAAGGACTTTTAGGTGTACTCAAAAAGTTATGGGATTAAATGGTGTCCACATGTTCCACATGGAACCTATAGGTAATTTCCCCTTAATAAATTATGTAATTTTATTATTGTCTTCGTTTGGCAACTTGAGTTGGGTTCAATTTGGGGCTATTTTAATCATAAAAATATAAAATAGGCTTTTAACCTAATAAGATAAAATGTCATGTCTAATATATAATCATTATATTCTTTATTTCACAAAAAGTCTATCACAAACGTAATTTTTTAGCCAGACTAAAATAGTCAAAAAATCAATCAACTTCCCAAACGAACTCATTGTATAATAGAGTAATTAAGAATTTTAGGCCATGTTTGGTGAAGCTCTCAAATCATAATTTCATCCCTCTATTTGCACCTTCTGTTTGGACAGATTTTTGAAAATGTGATTCCATCACACATTGCAAAACATATTTCTCTTTTAGGTTTGGCATATATCTTTCTTTCGTCTTCTATATTCTGAAAAGTATGGGAGTTTTGAATTTTGTGTCTACCTAGTCATCCTTCCAGACGTCCTCCCAAATGTTCGGCCGATTGACAGGAATAGTGTAATTTTTTATTTTGCAATTGTCAATCGCCACCTGTTATTTAGGAAAAAAAATTTATTTTTTTTTATTTTTAAATATAGAATTTATTTTTTTTACACAAAAATGACAAACTATTTTTTTGAATTGAATGTTAAAGGCAGTGTTTGGCAAGATTTTTTTTTTTTGGGTTTTTTTATTTTTTCCGCTAAAAGACAAAGTTTTTGCAAAACCAAAAAAAATGTCACATACAACCCCATAATCATTTCACTTTTTCTCTCACAAACATCACATTTAACCACAAAAAAATCCAACTATCTTCCCATACACCAAAAAAGTTTATCCAATAATATCCTACAACTAAAAAAACCTACATAAAAACCCACTTCCCAAACACCCACAAAAAGAGTTTGATTATAAGTTTTGAATATAATATGCAATAGAGCTTTGTTTTGTGCTTTGGTTATGAGTTATAACTTTTTGAATTAAATTCTGAAAATTCTTTTTAAAATTCATAATCAAACAAATTTTCTCAATTCATATGTCACATCAAAAATTTTAAAAAAATTCAAAACTCATAGTCAAACAAATTTTCTCTTTTCAAATCATAACTCCAAAACTCACAAACTCAAAATACAACTCTATTCTCAAATCACAATTTTTAAACTCTACCAAACGCAACCTTATTTTTTCACTTAATTCTATTAAATAATAAAATATGGCAAAGGGATACTTATAACTTTCAAACCACAGAAGACACTTCGCATTTTAAACAAGTATTAGGAATGTGTTTTTAATTTAACTAATTTCTTAAAACCATTTACCTCTTATCTCAAATTTTACTTTTCATCAAATTTGATAAATAAATAAATAAATCATTGCTAATATTTTTATCTTTTTAAATTCTAATAAGTTCTCCATTTGATAAATATATATATATATATATATATATAATAAAAAAATCCCTTAATTTAATGAACAATTAATGAATAATTATAAATATTTTTAACCACATTTAAATTTGATAAAAGAATAAAGTGAAAGATGAAGGTCATGTTTGGTTTAGTTTTCAAAACTTATGAGGTGTTTGATTGGAAATATTAGGGTGTGAGATTGGCTTGTAATTCATTGGAAGCCCTTTATTCGGCGTTTGTTTTTTTTTAAAGTCCGCTCGGACTCCTTATCCCCCATGTGTGGGTGTTGGCTTATTTTTCCTACGAAGGAAAATATCATAAATGGGAGCGTGCCAACAAGGATTGAAAATTCCCTACAGATTAAATTCATGTCAATTATCAAGCGATTATGTTGACGGTTCTTTTGCCTCAATGAAGACGATTTCAAAATTGTCAAGTACTAAGAAAAAAAAATTAATAGAAGAAGGAGGGAAAGGGAGAAAGATGATTGAGTGAACAATTAAAGTAACAATTACTTACCTCTACTCCTATGCTTTGAAAAGAAAGTGTATAAAATGTTTCGAAAATGAAGTGAGTAAAATAAAATGCAAGAAATATAAATGACAAGAAAAATAGAAATCAATTGACTTTAATTTGAGTTTTGGATTCCTTACAAGGTAGCCATAAATGACTATTAATAGGCAAACATTTGTAGGAAAAAAAAAAAACTACCTAAAACTATATACTATTCTACCCCTCCATTTCATACTCTACGATCTTCTATAATTTCCTTCAAAATCCACTTCATGCTCCATGTTCTCCACATTATTCTCCATCATCTTCTTCATATTTCATAACTTCTGATAACCTCTAAATGAATAGGAGGATGTCACATGTCCTGCAATTATATAAATAATAAAATTGCAGATTTATGGTGTGTAAGAGGAGCTAATTTAAGCCCACTAAATTATTTAGGCCCAATAGCCCAAGATTAGTGGGCCCGAATTTATCGCAAGTCCAAGATTGGTGGGCTTGGATTTATCGCCGTCAAACGGGCTGAATGGCTCTAAGCCTCGAAAGGGTTCAGATCCACGAACCTAGAGACTTACTCAAGCCCGGACTCGAAAGGGTTCGGATCCACGAACCTAGAGACTTACTCAAGCCCGGACTCGAAAGGGTTCGGATCCACGAACCTAGAGACTTACTCAAGCCCGGACTCGAAAGGGTTCGGATCCACGAACCTAGAGACTTACTCAAGCCCGGACTCGAAAGGGTTCGGATCCACGAACCTAGAGACTTACTCGGGCCCGGACTCGAAAGGGTATTAAGCAAGCCTAGAGATCCGAGGCACTCGGACTCGAAAGGATTCGGATCCACGAATCTAGAGATCCGAAGTACTTGGCTTCGAACGGATTCAGACGCAATCTAGAAGTCGCTCCGTTAATGAGTCCCAGAACACTAATAAAAAAAATTGACTTATAAAAATTACCAAATGTTACCTCATAAATATATACTAAAAATTATCATTTTATCTTTTCATAATCTTATATTATTCTCAAATTTTAATTATCATTTAAAAAATAAGTCAATATTTCTTACGTTAATAATAAAATTTTTAAAAATAAATATAAAAGTGAGCTTGGAAGTAATCAAGTTACAATAAATTAAAATTAGATGATAGGGAATGAAAGA